GCAGGTGAACAGCGCAAGGCTTTTTTTCCCATCCAGTCTCTGAAGCCACCTTCACAACATTATACATCAAGGAATGTGCCAAGTCCAGTTGGAATTCAAGGAGGGTGAGGAGGGTATAGTAATGGCATAAACATAGACCCAGGCATAGTGGAAAGGAAGTGCTGATTGTTGATCGTGGCCATACTTTGCTATTTGTTAGAGGAGTGAGAAACTTTTCTGATGACAACAATGACAGAAAGGAGGGAAAAGAACATGGGGTTTAGCAGTAGGGAGCCACAGACTGCATTTACATACTTTACCTTGACTTGATGGACATGACCTCATCTCTATGATCCTTAATTCCTTAGCTGGATACATAAACCATGGACCACCTGGTTGATACTACCTAAACTGGAGCTGCTATCTTATTTCCTCCTTAGGTTTATGATTTTGCTCTCTTTTCACAAAACAGAATTAAGACGAGCTATGTTGTTATTGCCTTTTTCACTTACTATTATTTTGTCTTTCTGCTCTTCTTCAAGCCCAAGTAGTAAAAATATCCTGAGAAACTGGTTAGAAGTACGGGTCTTTTCTCTTAAAACCAACGTTGCAAATATGCTTCTCCTTATGTGTTTGTAACCAAAGGAGATTTTTCTGTGGATGGCCTTGAGGTGTTAAAACAAGATTACTGAAAAATCTTATGTTACTTCATGAATTAGAGGAAGACTTGCAGCCTCGGTCAATGAAAAGGCATGTAGAGCAACGCTGAGGAACATCTGCTATGTGCTGTGGTGCCACTTGCACGTCATAAAACACATAGTGGGGATCAGCCACCCTGCAAAGGAAGCTTTCAGAATCCGGAACAAAACAGGTAACAGATGTTTCAGTCAGATGGTCAAACTAAAATATGTATTATAACTGGCATCCGAGGCAGAAAGTAAACAAGATTTATACCCTACATAGTGTTTTAATTACTCTGCATTCAGAAAAGTTTTCCTGTTAAATTTAGTACTCTTATTCAAAGATAGTGGCATCATTCCTGAAGATATCAGTGTTCTATGGAAAATCATGTTGTGACAGTATTATTTACTGCTACCGATCTGATTACATTTGATATAGAAAAAGCCCTTGCAAGAATTAATACAGAACTTTACAGTTTTATGCCTAACTGGTAGATTATTTACTATAGTATCGAGTTAATTATCTTTAAGATTAACCTTTTCATTTTTTATCACTTAATTTTATATCATTTTTGTTGAGAGGTAATTGACATATAACACTGTATTTGTTTTGGGCATGAAACAAGGTGATTTGATCCATGCATATGTTGAGAAATGACCACAAGAAGTCTATTTAATACCCATCATCAAACATATTTATAAATTTTTTTCTTGTAATGAGAACTTTTAAGATCTACTCTTTTAACAGCTTTCAAATATGCAACACAGTGCTGCTAACTACAGTCACCATGCTGTGGCTGACTTATTTTATTACTGGAAGTTTGTATCTTTTGACCACCTTCATTAATTTCGCCTACCATGCCAGTTCCTACTTTTGGCAACCACCAATCTTTCCTCTGCATCTATGAATTTTTTTAACGTTCACATATTAAATGTTACAAACCTATATGTCACATACTGGTACCTTATTAGATGCAAAGATTTCACTTAGTAGTGGATCACAGTTGGTTGTTACTGGCTGTATTTTTGAACACTTAGCTCTCTCCTTTACTTGTATAAATATGCACATGCCAACCTCATAAAGAACCAGAGAGAATTTAGAAAATAACTAATAACACTTAAAAAACAGTGAGTATATGTTTTCTTCTGAACCACATCATAAGATACAAGATTTCCTAGACACTGCAGGACTTAACAGCACAACTGAGCATTATTATTCAGGCATGAGAAAAGGACAATGAAAATTGATTAATACACCGACAGGAAACAGTCCAGAAATTCTATTTATTTTACTGACCTGAAGAATAAAAAATTTAAGAGGCTTACTTAAGCTCCATGGCAAAAGTGTCCTAGCCGTGCTGCCTCTCATTAGGTCGCCCAGCAGCATCCTTTGTAAATCTGGTTAACCCCCAGGATTACTTTTACTCCTACTTACTTGGGAGCTCATTTTGAATGCTACTGCTGTGGCTGTAGCTGTCTTTTCCCATCTAAAAACTAGCGTTGATGATAATTGCCTAGTCTTTACATTGCTTAGTTTTCCAAGGAGTCTTTGACACGCCGCCTCTGTAATGTTTTCGCCAGCCGTCGTTTACATGGACTACCTCACGACTCACAAGTAATTGGACCTAACTGCAGGTGCACTCAAACCTTTACCATATCAAAACAAGAGGCCAGAAACCAATTGTGGCACAATGATTCCAGAAAGTCACAGCCACGTGACTGTATCAAGAAAAAAATAAATAAACTGACAAAAGGGAATGTCCTTTTTACATACATTGATCTCACTGAGTTCATCATAATAAGTTTCTCCTTCTTTGTTCCCAATAATGAAGCCTTGTCTTCTCAGAGTGGCTGCTTCCTCACAGCTACCCTCTGGGTCCTTTATTATAAAAACATTGCATCGTATCTTTCACAAGTGGATAAAGTATTTCATCCTTTATTAGCTTCTTTCCTCTATAGACAAAGTACAGCTGGTAAAGATGTCATTCTTGTTCTTTGGAACAAGTAGATTAGTCCATTTCCTCATGGGGTTTGGCAAAGTCCTTCAACAGACGTGACTGGCAGAGGAAGAGGCTGGAGATGCTAGCCCCAGGGAATAGACTGCTGACTTGATAAATCTTTGGGTCATAAAAGGTCATCTCTTTATGTCTGGAAGAAAGACTGTCTCACTAAAAAATATCAGCAAGAGATCTTTCTGCAGTGTAAAATGTAAAGAAAACAAACTAATACTGAATGAGTATTTGCATGCTGGTAACATGAATAGGCAGACAAACACAGGTATGATATTTTCAGTTGTAAATTCATTGTGAGTGATTTTTCAGACTTTAAAGTCATTGCTGCAGAAAAGCATATGCCTTTCCTATGTGTTTTGATTTTCAGTGGACTGTGTAGTGAATACACAGTGAACCCCTAAAATGGTCAATTTTTAGCAGAAGTAATTATAGGCACATCCTAAAAGTGCTACTTTGAAATCTAGGGGTAAAAAATACTAGAAATCACAGTGTTTCATAAAAGCTGCTAGAAATTAAAAGTCACAAGGATATTCGAGGTTGAACTACTTATTATTAATGAATTCATAAACCTCCCCATAACATTTGGCTGGAATATTTTCAGCTTGAAAAAGAACAGTAAAAACTGAGATTAAAAAACAAAAACAAAAGCAAAGCAGAATGACCCAACCAATTAGTCAGTCCCATTAGAAACACTCCACCACACCCACCATTCCTAAATTTAGGGAACAATCCTGTTTCTTCAATTTGCTTTTTTTTTTTCCTCAAATCAATAAATTGAAGTATTCTAAGTATATGCTTGCAGTGCTTTGGCCATTAGGAAAATGCCAGTGATATTGCCAGAGAGTCTTTTTTGTTTTGTTTTGTTTATATTCCTACCTGGTTTTTTAACCATAGGCTGTGTCATGCCCCCTTAATGTCAGGGCCCTTTCCTTTATTCCCTGTGAATTAATCTCACATGCTAAGTCCTCAACACAGGAGCTGTGCCCTAGGAAATTTCATCAGTACTCCACACTGTGGTAATTCTTTGTCTGAAGAACAAAAGAGGGGCACAGGTTAACCCAAAAATAAGAGCTTTACTGTGAAAAGGAAGCAATTCCAGGCTGCGGACCCAGGCAAGGCTCGATCACAACAGCCCAAACTCCATTTAGCTATCTCAAAGTTTGCCATCTAATCTTAATATTATATATCTCCACATACAGACACAAATGCACACAGAGCTTGCTAGATTGTGGTCCCTGGCAAGAAAAATTCCAAAATAGGACGTTGTTTCTAGAATTTTAGACATTCAATATCTGGATGCACTCCCAGGATCCAACTGGAGTTTAAATATATATATTTATTACTATATAACTGTATACATATGTGTGTATATATATATGTGTATGTATATATATGTGTATATATATATATATACACAAAAATTCTGTTGCAATTTTTTTAAAAGTGAGGCAAACATTTTACTCATAGATATAGATATACTGGGGGCAGTAAATCATCCTAAAATTTGGGCAATATGAGATCTGTATAGAGAACCAAAGTGTAAGGTTAGAATTTCATGAATGACTTCTGAGTGCAGGTAATGATAACAGGAGGAACAGCTAAAATTTTTGTTAAGCCCTTTATTTGCATCATCTCTAGTCCTTATACAGCCCTGTTCACCTATAACTACTTCGGTTTCACTGATGGCATCTGGAGCTGTTCAATGACTTGCCCTGTGTCACAAATATATACTTGGGTTTAATACCAAAATTCAAGGATGATAGAGTCAAATATTTTTGAAATAATATAGAAAGTGCTAATAAGAGAATACAATTATAAAGAAGGAGGCCAGAATTTTCTTGAGCGGAATATGTTTGTGGGTCAGTCTTTCACAGATTACAAGGACTGAAACACACATGAGGAATACAGTGTTTTTGCAACACTGTTATTTAGAATTGCTACCTGCAGGAGTGGAAGGAGCCTCAGAGGATGACTGTTTCTGGTAGTGTGAGTCTCTGAAGCTTAACTTAAAATAACAAGTTTATACTGTATAGCACAGGGGACTATGTTCAATATCTTATAGTAACCCATAATGAAAAGTATATGAAAAGGAATAATATGTACGTATGTATATGTATGACTGAAACATGATGCTGTACACAAGAAAATGAATTGACACAACATTGTAAACTGACTATACTTCAATTGAAAAAATAACATAAAATAACTTACGATGTTCTGTTCTGTTTGGGATGATTAGACGATGAATCTGGACAGTAAAAGAGGTCTCCATTCAAGAGTGAATTGAAATGACTGAAGGAGACAGACATAGAGACAGTGCATCTCAGAAAACGACTTATTTGAGCATCTCATTTTACACAAAGAAAATGAAGTCCCAGAGAGTTAAAACAGTCTTTGTGTGTCATTCTGTGTAGACTCTCCCTAGGAAATCTCACATGCTCCCTGTCATGCACATTGCTCACGTTTGAGCCAAGCAGAACTTCACAGCCTTCCTCCAAAGGCACACATGGCTGTCCCATCTGGTGGGAATTCCCTTTCTCCACTTGGCTTCCTAGAAAATTTCATCTCACTCTTGGGCACGGGGCCAAAAGTACAATGCATATTCTCAGTAAGATCAATTAATAAGCAAGTATATAAATAAAATGTAAAAATGAGCCATTTCTTCATATTATTATCAATTTCTTGTTGGTGGTTGGAAATAGGTGTCTATAGCTTAGTTTTGTAAATCTGCTGTGAAAATTAAAAGCAGTGGAGACAATGACTCAGAGGAACTTAGACATCAGAACGGCTGAGAACTGGGAAAGGAGCAGTGGACAAATACTCTTGGTTGGGCATCAAATAAAGGGCGATAAAAGATGAACATAGGGGCATGTCGATGGAATCTTAGCTGTGAGGCCAAGACAATTTAATGCTTTTTCTTAATTCCCACATATGCATAGGTAGATCCTCCATTATATGACATAACCTGATCCTGTTTCTGCCTTGTGTCACTTTGTATGTGCACAGCTGTGAATGATTTGTGAGAGAACGAAATCCATCCACACAGTGGCCATTGTGTGAAACAGCAAAGCAGTAACTTCCTGGAAGATACCAATGCTTTATTATTATCATTAGTATATTATTATTACTATTATTATAATTTTGTCTTTCATGGCTAACCAAAAAATTTCATTAGAGAAAAATCAAATCAAAATTTCAAAATGTTCAAGCCAGCAATAGTTAAAATGTTTTATATTTTTGTGAGAAAATTAGACATCAATTATGACTTAGTCTGTCTACAATTTGTAAGCATATTTAGCAGTTTAGGAAAAAATAAGGCTTTTTAACATTAGGACTATTAAATTTAGAAAAATAACACTAAAATGATACAAATTGTGACAAATACAAATGATCTCCAAGTCCCCACTTCCAATGGATGCTTTTCATCCTCCCTGTAATATGCATTTGCTACCATCTTTTTGGTATCTGTAAAAATCCAGAACTTTGCTTCTCTAAGCTATTTTGGAAGTTAGATGAGGTAACATA